TGACTCAGCAATGAGTCTAACAAGCCTTAAACAAGAGGAAGTTGAAAGGGTTTGGTGTCACACTGCGCAAGCTTCCTGCGGTGCGATTTTCCTGCCTTCCATGTAAGGATTTTCAGGTCAAGTCACTGCCAAAACAAACCGTGGAAAATAATTCTACCTTTGTCAGTATTTTATCCTACAGATCATTTGGCTAATAAGAGAATATTGCCATAAATACTCTCTTGGAAACTCAGAAAGCTTGTGCAATTAGTTGGCTCATGGAATTAGTGTATTAGTAGACTGGAGAACTTCACGCAGTCAGTTTTGTTCATGACACCCTCTGATGCCTCTCAAGATAATTGGTGCCTAAGATCACTGTTGTTAGTGTCCCAGGAAAGCAAAAAATGTTGCCCTCAATGCACTTGTTTGGTGATGTAGGTAATGAACCAGCCAAGAGTAGAGAACTGCTGACTGCTGGAGGCAGGCAGCCCATTTTGAATCCTAAATAACACCAGTTTAGGGCTATTATTTGTAATTAGCATTGCAATTCCTCCTCCCCTTGATACCAGTTCATTATCAGACAGATTTTTACAGTCTGCAAAATTATTGGTGCTTTCATTGACACCACAGATGGCTGTCTACTGTGTTCTTACTAGAATTTGTCCTTCTTCCTGCTTACTCGACAGTTATCTGCAAAGTGCTTATCTGCTCAACAGAGATATCTGCGATTACTGTATGCATTTTGCTAGCCCCATGATATGGCAGTGGTGTGCCATGCACTGCCACTCAGTGCCAGTGTTCTGTGCAGTGGCACGCTGGGGGACTGTGGGATGGTTTCTGTGCAGCCACAAAGACACTTCTGTTCCAAAGTCCCAATCAGGAAAAATTAAAGGGAAGGCTCAAGACATACCAAGGCCAATTCCACATCTCAGTCTAAACAATCCAGGAAGTCAGGCAGAGAGAAAGACTGAATTCAAGACCGTATATTCATTTTGGAGCTAAGAGTCCAATTTTGGCTGTAGAAAGGCTAAATTATTATTAATTTTCATTAATCAAACTTGTAATAGCATAGTTGTTCCTCTGGTGGTATCTTTTCGCTCACTAGAAAGATGGTTTAATAGATATTTTAGAAAATATATTGAATTTAAGGCAGAAGCAAGGCATAATTAATAATTGTAACTGGATTGTCAGGTAGCCTCATAGCAAAATTTGCTGAAACTCAATGTTTTCCATTTAATTAGAAATGTCACATAATTTAGAACATCTTAAAACTTCAGTAGCCAAGCACTGCCTCAAAGTGCTACATTTGACTAGTACCCAACTTCTTCCTTACTAAAAATAGAATAAAAAGTTATCTTCTATACAAGCTGAAAACAGAGAACAGTTAGATAGAATATTCTGACCCTGGGTGAGCTCTAAAGAAAAGCAACGGCTCTCTAAGTATTAAGAATTTGGCATCAGATTCATCCTCATCAATATCTTGCTTCCCAGCACCAGAAGGAGCACTCTGCTCTCTTTTACTCCTTCTGCTCCGATGGGCGGAAGGAAGTTGTTCCAGCTCCTTTGCTGGGCAACTGTTTGTTTTCCCCCATTCAACTTGCTCAGCTGCCCTCAGAGGGGCAGAGACAGGGCTGAACCAGGGATTTGTCCATTTGCTTCCTCCATGTTCACTCAGGCCTGTGACAGACAAGTGGGGTTTGCTCTTCCATGTATGGCTGTGCTGTCTTGCCTGGTCATCCAAATGGAAGATGCTTTATACAACTGCAATACAGGTAACCAAAATGAACCGTCGGTACAAGGAAGTTTTGATCTGACTACTTTCATTTCCTCTGTCCTTTTATATTTTCACCAAATATAGGCACTCTTGGTTTTGTTATTTTGCAGTAATTTGCCTGTAATTTTCCTCCTTTTGCTATCAGACAGTGACTTCTTCGTTATACTTCTTTGCAAACTAGAATTATAAACTTATTTTGCCAATCTAAACACATTTTCTTTGAGAGCATCTCCTCATACTGCAGTAATACTCCTTAAGGGAAGTAGCAGAAATTATTTCTCACATTAGCAGAAATTATTTCTTTCATGTTTCAATGCATTGTTCAAAAGATGAATAGAAGATATGCAAGACCCAGAACAAAGTCTCAAATAACCATACTGAACAAACAGTTGCTTTTACTGTGGTTATGTGCAGGAAAGCTGCACTGTGAATAACCACCTCTGTTGAAATGGACATAGCACTTCAATGAGAAAATGGAGCAATAGCTATACAACAGAGGAAAATGAAACCCTTAACAGAACAGGCAGATGATTTTCACATACCCTCTCAACAAAGTTATTGCAGGAGTTCTTTAACTTCATTTTACTTTGGCAGGTTTTGATCACACAGTATTATTTCCCTACTTGCATCTCCTCCTTAGTGTGTTCAGTGTTCTCTAAAGAACTGCATCATCTTTTTTAAGCTCTGATGACATTTACAGACATTGAGAAGAAATGAAGATGTGCCTCTCTGAAATGTTTCAGGAAGAGTGGCCAAGATATGTAGCAAGCTAAATTTGCAACCATATAAAATACATACCTCTCCAACCAGGCAAAATACAGCCTTCTGCTGTAGCATCCAACGCTACACAAAGATACATACAGCTAGATGTTGTAATTTGGCCATAGCCACCTGTAGAGAGGTTAGCGTGGAGCTGCATCCCTCCAGAGACATTCTGAGAGACCGTACCTTCTATGACATTCCACTAAAAGCACACACTGCTCTCTTTTTGCAAGCTAAGCCAGCTGCATGGTGCAGAGAAAAGAGCTGGCTATGGCTTCTGCTTCTTCCCTTCTGTTTTTAAGTAGATGGGGAGGAGGTCTAAAGCAAATTTGCCCTATGTTACAGCCTATATTCTAGGTCTGCAGTTCATTCATGTGCAAGATTTGTCTTCCAGTCTGTAAACTCCTTATGTTAGAATGTACTTAAACTCTTCAGAGTTGAAACCGTAGCTTCAGCTGTGACCTTTACAGCACATAGCATGCTATCAGCACATAAACAAGATAATATAACCCCTTAAACACATTCAGCTCCAGTAAGGTTGCACAGCTGTTTAAGAAGTAAAAGCTGAGCAAGCAAAAGTAGTATCCATAGAGCAGGAACTTTAAGCCTCACGGAGACCTCTTTGTTCTCTTAAGAGGTTAAATTACATACTCTGTCCAGTCATGAAACAGCTTACAACATTATCTCATGTGGGCTTCCCAAATCAATGTTCTCTTATGTGCCACAGCTTCACTGAAACACTGTGCCAGATAATCTAATGCCAAGGGTTCAATTAGTATTGCAGACCCTGGCTCAGTTGCAGGGACTAGGTTGGGTGCTTAGAAGCATATCATTTATATGGTATTTTATTTGTCATTTTTCATACAGGCACAAACTTACCAATATTTTGGTTGGGTGCCTTTTTTGTCTTACTGATTTTGCTTGTTTCATATTACCAAAATAAAACAATAAACTCAATAAATCTAAAATGCCAAATATTTACATAAGAAAAAGAACTTCAATATAACAAATTGTGCCTCAGGCAGGCGGATCAAGGTCTCAAAATGTATATCAGAATAGGATAGCTGTATGTTCATCCACTGATGAAGAATATAAGGAGCTTAACTTGAAGTTCTTTTTGTAAATAAGGAATAAGAAAGGCTGTCACTCACATTCCAGGAAGAAATACTGCAGCAGTACGAAACATTAACACCTCGTTTGCTTTTTACCAGCCCTTTCCCATGGACAACTGTCCCACTAGCAGAGCAGAAAGCCTTTCACAGCAGAGATACCTTTTTTACTTCTCTTTCTCTGGCAACTTAAGCTGTACATAAGGCTATGAACGGAAATGGCTGAGGCAAAGGCATGTATGTTCCCTTCTCTTGATGCCACAACAGGAACAGAACCTTCTGCAGCGCAACATATCAGACACCTGGGGGTAGGAATATTTGCAACCATCACAGCAAGACTGGGCAGGCCATAAATGAAGTAGGAGAGAGGTACTGTGCACTGCATATTCTGAGAGACAGATCCAGTAACTAGTCATGCACTTGCTTCGGTACCTGTGAGGTATCAGCTCACTGAAAGGTTGTGAAGGATTTGTCTTATCTGTCTTCATATTTAAACCACCTTAAGATGAGTGGATTAATAAGATGTTTGAATCCCTCTACAGTCATAATGGCTCTGTTGCAAGTAAAAGGGAGAATATTACGCAGAAGTACTTACTTAAGTATCAGAAGGGATACGTTCACTTTGCTTATCAAGCATGCAGGTTAAGTATGGGCTCTTCGATACTGTCCTCTCATATCATAATTTTCAGAATCAGGATGACCTAGGATAATGATTTTGGAAGACATGTAGCACAAATGATGTTCGTATCGAATGATGACATAATTCCCTACTTACTTTAAATAGTTTATTAGAAATAATGCTTAATTTAAGAAGGTATAGTACATTTAGCACCATTATTGTTTCCTATAATGCAATAGTTTGAGAATTTTAAATGAAAAATTGTCATTCAAGTATATTTTTGTTGTTCTCTCCCCTTCTCCTTCCTCCTCTTATCCCTCAAATGCTTTTTGAAGATTCATTTACTTACCACTTCAGTGTCTTTCAAGCTAAATGTACTTAGTTTAAAAGTACAGCTATTTTCTCACAACTTTCAGTCCTTGACATATCCAGCATTTAATCTATCTGATGAGGTTGATACCTTAAGGTGACAAGGTTATTTCTTATAAGTTACCACACTCGCAGTAGCTTTAGCTATGTAAGGCTACTGATGGTAGAAAGTGATAAAAGATGGATTTTATGGGGTAAAGGCGATAGTATCTGGCAGTATGTACAGAAGTCTTTAAAACAAAACAAGGCTATACTTACAAGTTAACATTCAGCACACAGATGCACTTTGAAAATGCTGTGTTCTGCTTTTCAGAAGCCTTTAATTGTGCACAATCAAAAAATTTGCTATTGATAAGGTGTGGTCCTATTTGTCCTTTTTGTTGGCAGCATGCAAGACGACAGTTTAGAATCCTCAACTTCAATATCTCAACTTCTGAGAGAAAGTTATTTAGCTGAAACTAAACATCAGGGGAAGAGTGAAAGAAGCAGATCAGAACCAACTTCTCATAACTTCCATTATGGCAACGCTTCTGGTGATTCAGATGAGGTAGCTGCCCAAGACGACCTTCCAGATCTCTCTGCCTTTTTGAGCCAAGAAGAGTTACATGAAAGTGTAAACCTGGCAAGACAAGCTATTGATCAGAATCCACTGGAAACTAAACAGGATGAGCTTCAGGCACATTCACAGCATCCCCCAGAGCAGCTGAAAAACACAGGAAAACACAAACAAATGGCCCAGTCTACAGCTTTGAAAACATCAGACAATGGCCTGCACTCAAACTTTTGTCAGGACCATGTCAGAAACACAAAGGGCTCCAAAGGGAGCTCTCAAGACCTAAAGAAACAACACCTTCCTTCTGAATCAGAATCAAAAAAGGAATTCCTAAACAAGGCAGCAGATTTTATTGAGGAGCTCTCATCACTTTTCAAAGCTCACAATTCTGAAAGAATAAGACCCCGAACATGCAAAAACTACAGGAGCAAAATTGATTCTAAGAATAAGTCTGCTCAAAAAGGTAACTCTAGCCTATCTAATACATCAGAAAGCAGAGAAAGGCTTTCCATTCCAGTACCTCAAGACTTGGAAAACAAAGCAGAGAAAACATTTGAACAAACAGATGATCAACAGGCAGCAAACTTGGAATCTATCAATCAATTAACAAGTGCAGAGCTAAAAACAGAGTCAGAATCTGCATCTGTATATTCTGATGAGCCTATTGGACAACCACCACGCTTTACTCAAAAACTGAAGAGCAGGGAAGTTCCTGAAGGAACCAAAGTGCAATTGGACTGCATTGTGGTAGGAATCCCAGCACCTGAAGTCAGGTAAACATATTCTGCACTTACCATTTTGTATTTCTGTAACAGTAGGTATATGCCTTACTCTTTCCAGGTATTTTGATGCATATGTTTCAGCGATCTGTAGCAGAATTCCCTTAATCTTGGTTATTAAAATTCACTAAGAAAAAAAATTGCTTTCTTTAAGTCATACAAAAGGTTGCTTATATTTTAAAACAACTATTTTGGGACACATTATTTTCTTTGAATTTTAGAGAACTGTTTTTAAATACTGAACTTCCATAATTAAAAGAAAGTGCCAACTCCTTAGCAAGAAATGTTAGTTATCTTTATGGAAATCAAGACTGATTGTGTAAACCAGCTAAAAACACCAACGGCTGTGAGATCTCAGGCTGATGTCTGCAGGTATCTGAGATGAGTGAACATATAGGTTCCTATAAACCAAAAACATCCATACATGAGCAGAGTGGAAAGGGGTTCATTTAAGCTATTATACAAATAACCAGGAACAGCTCAGTTCTAATCCTGATTCTGACAACGACTTTGCTGTGACCTTAGGAAAAACACTTCCATTTTATCAGTATAAGGCACCCTTATTAATTGATACTTATTCATGTTGTGTGACTAGCACACTAATTCTGATGCTTCAGTTTTCACCTGTGGGTACCTATGAGCATTTGGAAACTTAAATCACTGGAGATAAAAGGAAATGTGAAAAAGCTACACTTTATTTGTCAATGACATCAGCGGAGTGAGAAACAGATAACTGAACTTTGAAATTTATCGTGAAAATTCTTAGATCTCACGAGCATTTCTAAATCTAAATTTGTTCATTTGACTTATTAGCCAAATTTACTTCTCAATTACAGTGGTGGAATTATATTTCCTTTGCTGGGACTGTACCAATCCAACAGAAAGGAAAAGACAATCCATCTTTTACTATACGTATTTGCATCCTAGTATCTGCAGTATCATAAATAGACACCCTTAGTCTAGATGGTTGCCTATCCTTTTATAGGCATTTTAGAAATCTGTGTTGCTTTTCTAAATATTCAAAAGAACTGTTTGCATCTTCAGCATCTGATTAAAGGACTCTGGGCTTCACAGATGGTCCATTTTCTCCAATTGTCAGCTCATTGTCTTTCTTATATACTTAGACAATGCTTGGGAAAGCACAACTACCACTTCTACTGCAGTCAACACTTTTTATCATCTTTCTCACTGAATTAATAGGCACTGTCATCAAATGAGAACTATCTCAATATCCAAAGACAGAAACTCCAAAGCTTTTTGTGGTAAAGAATCTTTTGTCTTCCACTCCCTTGGATTTCTGGCATACCAGCTGCTAATTTTTCAGAAGGAAGAAGCTTTTACAACACAATATTAAGTACATAGGAACAAGGATCTACAAATGAATCCTCTTGTTTTGGCCTGTCTGCAGTTATGGACAACCTTGTCAGGAAGACAAGAAGTTACCCAAGAAGTTCATAGGATCCCTGAACTGTGACTGCCAGACCATTTTGCCCCACTAGTGCCTTTAGTAGTAACATATAGGTCCTCGGTCCCTAACACAACCTTGATCTGTGGTGCCACACAGGGTCTCTTGTCCATGACAGGAATGTGAACTTCCAAGGGACTAAATGGTTTGTTTAAAGAAGAGGAATCTGTTCTAAAGCTGGGGGAAATACCTTGTTTGGGAAAAATATGCTTTCTACTATGCTTCCTGTCTAAACTCACTGCTTAAATGAATAATTTTGAGACATTCCCTTGATGGAGCTTATGCCATTTAAATGTTGTATTGTGTTCAGCCCTTAAATTCACAGGGGAGTCTGATCAAAAGAGAAAACGGTGCCAGAAATCTGGGGACAGAAAACAGACAGGAAATATCATTCTCTAGATACTAGCACCACTCTGAAGACGTGTTCATAAAGACTTTGAGACTTATTTCTCCAGGCACTTACCTTGATAAATCTTTTTGATACTAAACATGTCAGTAGGATCCGTGAACATGAGACATAGTTTTTTTCTTCCCTCTTCATTCATAGTTTATAATACAAAGAGAACAATTGAAATAGTCTTTTCTTATATATATAGACCTGTACACAAACTCAGTCTGTCTTTCTTTGTATTCAGAAAAGGTGAACACTGAATTGCTTGTTTACAGACACACTCCAGCGCACAATATTAATTTTATGTCTTTCTCCAGAGGGCCACAACACCATCCTTATAACAGCACATCATGCCCATGCCATTGACACATACATAAAACTGACATGGTATTCATGCCATCTAAGTTTAGGTGTTTAACAAGTATCTGAATTAGAAGCTGACACTATAAAGTCACTGAAGCCTCGCAAGGGCAGATCGGAGAACCCAGGAACAATGACTCATCCCATGGAGTATCCAGGGATGGCCAGGATGCCTATGCACCCAATTAAGGGACCGCTTGATTCCACAGAATTGGATGATGGATATCTTTGTAACTTGGGTCTATTTTTGTCCCAACAATACTGAAGCTTTTCCATTGAAATTTCTATCTCAACATTTGATTTTGTTTACTGTAAATAAATAAAATAAACTACTTAGCTGAAAGACAGTCAATACAGGAACTCTTGCACTTTTTTAGAATAAGCATCCATCAGACTTTTCCAATGATAATACACTGCTCCAAAGAGAAATGCACACTTGGTTTACTGACTCATGCTTGTAGCCAGATCAGAGTCAGAGGAGCTAACACAGAAGTCCAGAACTCACACGCTGATGCCCCAAGGCCAAGGGAAGTAGGGACAGGGAGAAAGAAGTCCCATAAGGAAAATCAGTCCCAAGCAGCCAAGCTCAAGAAAAAGATCAGGCTCAGCTTTCAGTTTCACAACTTAAACTAACAAACAAAAGATAAATCACAAGGGGGTAAGTTTGAACTCTCTCTCCCACTGTGTTTTTGTGTGTGTGTGTATGTATGTGCTGTATTAAGGAGAAAGCTGGGAATGTTAGCTGCTTGAACAATTTCCTTATCATAATTGTTAAGAAAATTTTTGTCCTGTTCATTCAAGATTATTTCAACTCTACCAATGTGTAGGAGTAAAACTAAGAAAAGGTGTAAAAAAATTCACTTGCCTGAGTGATAAATATTCATGTGCTTCCAGTGATCACGACCTTTTTAGTCACTACTACAGCAAAAGAAAACCAAAACATATAATATACTTAGGGGTATGTGTTCCATTAACCATGGAGACCATGCAGGTTTTTCACTAAAAATAGTGCTTGTCTTTGATCTACTGTGCAAAGCTTCCAAAACAGCAAAGGAAGCATCTTGCTGGTCATAGTTGTGGAACTGGGTCTGGAACAGGGCTCAGAACTGGCAACTGTCTTGCTCTGAGGGTAAGTTTTCTGAGGTTTGTGGTGAGTTAGTTCAGTATCTGTGGAGCTGGGCAAGGAGAGAAAAATTCTAATAGATATGCAAGAGAGATACAAAAATCAGTAGTCTCAGGAAAGGACTAACTGGCAAGGTGGCAACTGATGAAAGCAAGCTTAATGCTGACTGGCATTAAGGCATGATTTCTTCTTCCTTCAACTTAGCTGAATGACCATGCTTAGTAAACAAGCATCCTTTGGACACACATGTGCTAATGCATGCCTGCCTGCGTCCTCTGACTTAAAATGGACTTCCTAACCACAGGAAGGAATCCCATGTTACTTATAATGCTTGCGATACATACACTCACAGTGCAGAAGTGGTACTGTGGGAACCCAGAGCATTGTGAAACAAGAACAAGATTCAACAAGCTCTGTAACGTAGTTTCTCAGTCAACACTAGGAGCAATCAGATGGTTAAAGTGATGTGATGGGGATTGTAAGAGAGAAATTAGAGACAGGAGATTTAGAAAGAAGCTGATCACAGGACTGGAAAATATGATGGACAGATACCACACCTGAAAGCAAGACAGTACAAAACAAAATTGATGATGTAAAAAATGGTGTAAATGACATTCATGATTGATCTGGGTCAAAATATCATTGGCAATGATAAAGCGTTATAATTTACAGGCTTGGTAGGTAACTATCTAGCATACACAAGGGTTCACTGAGGGACAGAAAATTACATGGTGGATCAAGAGAAAAAAATGGGAACTGATTTGAAGCATCAGTACATGGAAAACTAAATCCTGCTTGGCTGAATACAGACTGGCCTGTCCAACTGCTTTTTAAGATAACTCAGCCTTAATGTAACAATCCCACTTGAGGAAGCTCATTAAGCCTACCTGCCTAGAAAGAAGTTTCAATGAAACGTTACCCATTTTTCAGTATCATCAGCTGAATGCAGTGACATAGAAGAGACAAAGACTGATACTATAGTATATGGACCTCTAGCTAGCTCAAACATTAGCTCACAATTAAAGAGCACTACTACAACTATTGATTGATTACTTTACTCTGACTATGCTGCAGGTTAGAAGTATGCATTCAAGAGAAGTGTGTAGGATATTTCCAAAGTGTTAAAGGTTTTGATTACCTCCTTCTCATGCTTCCTTCTACAGCTCTGTTTCTGTATGAGTAATGATAGGCGTGACATTCACTCCTCTCTGTGAGGAGAACACTCCTTATTCCCTCAAGTTCAGAGGTGCCTACATTTTTCCAAACTGCTTGGCACATCACTCCTAGGTTAATTTTACTTATGAATCACATTGCATGGTTTGGCATACAGAGCTATCCTGGAAGTGTCATGAGGATTTGATGTTCTAAAAACAGGCTGTATGTCATAAGGTTTCCATGAAAACATTCTTTAACATAGGCATACGAAGCTTAAAAAGTGCATTTTAGTGCTGCTGTGTTTAAGGAGACTAGATCTGCAACTAATCACAGATTTTTAAAGGCTGAAGTCACTTAAGACTGATTAAGATGGTTTTTTCCCTGGCTGCCAAATGAGAACAGTTATGTTTTAGCGCTCAAAGCCTAGAGAACCAGACTTCTCTTACATGCAACTCCAATCAAGTCAATGGATTAAGACCTAGGATGAGTTTGGCACAGCGGAAGGCACTGCTTGTGCTTAATGTGAACCTGCCTTGTATGATGAAGCTATCATTACAATTCATGGCAGGAATGAAATGTCAGTGACAGAGAGTATTGCCACTTCAGTCATGCCACGTATCTCAATGTCAGAACTCCCCTTGGAACTGACATTTCATTACTACCACGTACGTTTTGATGGTAAGAATAAAATAAAATGTTAATAAGCAAGGAGTAGATATGGCCATACTAAAGATTTACACAAAGCTCAATTTCACAGGAGAGAAATGTTTTTCATTCATAAGCATTGCAAAGAGATAACATACATGTAGCATGTTCTTTTTCTTGGCTTAATCTCAAAATACTTTAACATTATGGTGAAAACAGTGACTAAAGAACACACTGCATAGGAGAACTAAACACAGGTTTGAAACAAGTTTATTCCTGAAGTTTTAAATTGCTTATGTTGCAAATTTTGGGCTAGTCAAAGGAAAAAAATAATTTCAAAGTAAAGAATTAACTCAATCCTGCTTCATTGTCTATTTTAGTCTACTAAAGGAACACATACTCACATACTACTAAAATAACTGGAAGAAACAGCTTACGTGGTGTATTTCATTTTGCTTATAGGCAATTAGAATTGTGCCTCACAAAGGCATGCAACACAGGCTTATCTCTACACAAACACAATAGGTTAACTGGAAAAGCTGACCAGTAGGAACACGAAGAATTCTTATGTCTTACTGGTGATCATATCACAGCATTTTGTTTGCTTTATGTGTCACATAAAGCAGTGAGGAACCGCATTTGAGTGGACACAAAAATATGGTATCGCTGTACAATGTAAGTTATTTTAATGTTCTGAAAAGATGGTCGTGAAAATGAGATCAAATTATAGAACATAGGTATCCTCTTTAGTATTTTTTCATATCTGCTAAAGGTAACATGCTAAAGCAAGACAATATTATAAGGAAGAGACATGAGGCAGGTATATAAAAAGGCATGAGTAAGTGACATGACTCAGCTCCTAAAGAACACAGTTGCCTACATGAATTACACACCTAAAAGGCGACTTGTACACTCATATATTCAGTTTGTGCTTGTAGTCATACAACTGTACATTAACCTTAGGTCTTCTCTCCTGCAAATGTGACCATTGTCAATTATTGCTAATTGCAAATCTTGAAAACAACAGAAGAATAAACCATATTGTACATAGAATAAAAAAATTCCCCTCTTTGGGGTCACAGGATTCCTACATAATTTCCTGATCTGGAACTTAAAAACAGCACAAATTAATTTCAAAGGACTTTTTCCATCAACCCTACAATGCACATTACCATACTTTTCCCTGGGGACTGCTAAATTACTACTCTACTTACTTGTGGTAGAGTTATTCCTTTATCCCAGGCACTAGATGTTTGTGTTCCATACACCAAGGACCTCACTACTAGCTATGGTATCTACATATTTATAAGGACATCACTGAGGAGAAAAGCAAATGTAATCTGCACTTCTGGGGAACCAGTCAAAAAAACCCCAGTTGATCTAATTATTAATGGGGAAAATACCAGATTTGGGCAAGTCATTATGGGCGAAGTCTAAAATAGATACAGCTTTTCCTTCTGTTTGAAGAGGTTTGTATTGGAGTATCTCAAGGTTCCTGATGTTTTGTATGATGATAGCTGTCTCTTAAATTTCCAAAGGTGCTGCACATTGTACGTGCTTGGTTAATATCCAGAACACTATTTACACTGTATTGTGAAGCACCTTAAACTTAAGTTCCATTGAGGTTTGAGAAGTAGCATGAATGGCTGCTGAAAGCTATCCTGGAGTAAAGTGTTGTCCTAGGCAGACTGTCCATTGACAGAAAGTACCTTGGAGCATCTCAATTGGATTGGTAGAAAATGTAGGAAATTAACTGTGTCAAACTTCAGAGGGACAGAGGAATATTCCCTTAATGTTGTGGCTCATATTGTGTTCAAGCAAATGCCTGTGGCAATTTAAGATGCTGCTGTACCCTCCTGACTCCCCAGTCCCTTCTTTTATGGTTATTAACATTTACCAAAAGTGATATATAGGAGCATTGGTATGGTTCAATTATTCTAGATCCACATGTCTAGTGTCCTGGTGCAAACCCATTTTCAGTAGACCAGAACTAGAGCAGCTGGGCTTAGGAACACATTTGAACCTGCCATCCTTGCTTCAGAACAATAAATCTCCAGCAAATAAGTCGACATCAGGCTTTTAACATCTTAAAGTACTGCTGCCAGATCTGCAAGAGTTTGTCTATCAGAGCCCTAAAGCTCAAATGGAAGAGAAATGAGTAACTTGGTTAAAGTTCTCTGTATAAAGCAGTGACAGTTTCTCATTGGTAAAACCCTGCAAGAAGGATGTGCATGTGTTTTAGTGTAGCAAAGCTGTACTTCAGCTGTGAAATGTCAGGGAAGAGAGCTGGGACATTTTACACCCTGCTGGCATCCTCTTTTAACATGATGATATTTACTACACGTCCATTGCAATCGGAAATGTTAAATTCATAAAAGTAATTTTCAATTCTTGTTACAATGGAGGCGCGTAAAAGAGGATAAGCAAGCATGAACCAAGACTTTTAAGTTCTAGCGCTCTAGCTACAAAGGTTTGCCTTTCTAAAAGGGGAAATTGTGTTAAGCAGTATGATTCATTCTACAGTGCAGGAGCTTCCCTCTGTAACAGGCAGACCTGTACGCTGTCCAAGCTGTACATTCAAGTCAGTTGACTGTACAGCTACAGATTACACTAATGTGCAACTCGAAGTGGACTGGGGAATACCCTGTCTACTTTAAGAAAGCCGTGTTGGACGGCTAGGGCTGATGGTGCACAAATAGCGCAAGGTTTACTTCTTAGCTATGCAATCAGCATTTAAGTTCCAGATCTGTACTCCTTCATGCCTCATAGTCCCTTTGAGGCTCCTTTTTTAATTCTACGTTATACTTCTACTGAATTCTGGTTTTCCAGTGGTATGGACTGTCTTATAGGGTTTTTTCCCCCAAGATATTAATTTGCAGTTTTCTTTATGCTCAATTTGTAGCACAGACTTGTAAAAAGTTGTGCTTTCAAGAGATGAATACAATTGAATGCTTAAACAAATATATCGATTATTGTTTTTCTAAATTATCTGAGATGGAAATGTATCAAAGTACCTTATAGTATGAGCCAGGAAATATGAATTAGTACAATTTATTACTCTAAAACCTATCCTTACCCTTTCCACAACTAATTTTATGCTGTAATTTGTAATAGGAAATATATTTGCCATTGCTTTGATAGCATTTGTGTGCACTCAAAAGCTAGCATGAACGTTTACCAAGTTACATATAAAGATGGATGAAACAATTATTCATTTTAAAAAATCAATTGAATAAAAAATGTTATCAGTATGACAGCCCCCACCCACACAGGCACAAGACACATTAATCAACCATACCTAGTTAAGAAAGCAGCAGTAAACAGAAAATACAAGTATTTCTGTGGCGTTTTCTATCTAGCTCTATTTATGAGAAAAGATACAGTGAAGATGAATGCACCTTAGTTTGGCTTTTCAAATTTAGCTAGTTATCTAAAAATACAGGTATTTCTGAGTATTACCCTGAACATTTAACTCTGGATCCTACATGTAGTAGTACACCTTCTCTATAAAACTTAGATTGTCTTATTAAATTTGAATCTGGTTCTCCAAACCCACCTGCTTTTTCTCTTTCTGTTCTATCTTTTCCATATTAGCAAGCAACAGCAATCAGGCCTGCTCTCCCCTCCTACTAGCTCTGAGGTTGAGCTGATGGTTACTGTCATTAACACATCCTATGGAGCTGTCTTTTCAGGTGCTGCTTTTACTTTTCTTGGATTCCCACATTTTCTACTGAAACAACCCTTCTGAACACTGAGGGACTTAGGAATGCCTTACATGAGGGCACAAAGCCTCTAAAGGGCCCATTATATTCTTGGACGTGTAGCTGGGTTTAAAAGAGAAACACAGCAATATGATGCAGAGAAGAATTCAAGGTCCAGCTGTCTCACTGGCCACGTCCCTGGAAGGAAGCGCCTCTATGCTGTAATAGATCACTTCTCTTTCCTCGTGATATGCTTATGCCATCTTTTATAAAAAGCAGATTGTCAACACAAAGAGTAAGATTACAGTAAATTTCAGTCACATTCTGAATCAACATGAACTTTGGAATCACAAGTTTGAGGGAAATTTGTTTACTTAGGGTTTGGGCTTTTTTTTTTTGCTGCAGTTTAAGCCACAACACAGATCTGAATGTGCCTTGAGAAATTCAGGGCTGGACTGACAGCATTCCAAAATCAGAGCTCTTCTACTGAAATCTGTATATTCAAGAAAAATATGTGCTAAAGTCATTTACATAAACTAGTTTGTTAGTATGTTTAAATACTGCGAAGGAAGGAGCTCTATTATTTGCTCTAATTGAGTAGTATGAAAATCTTAAATATTTTATTCCTATGACTGTTGAGTCAACACTTACCTGCAGTACACCATCAGAATACGCGGTTTAAACCCCACCCATTTTAGCATCAGAAAGGCTTCCAACATTGTCATTCTAGTTGTCAAGTTGTTTGCATTGATAAACAATATTTTTTGCCTTGCAGGTGGTACTGTGAAGGGAAGGAGCTTGAAAACTCACCAGACATTCAAATTATCCAGACAGGTGATCAACACTCATTGGTTATTGTTGAAGCTTTTGAGGAGGATACAGGACGTTACTCGTGCTTTGCTTCAAACATCTATGGAACAGACTCCACTTCTGCAGAGATTTACATAGAAGGTAACGTTAGAATTGTTGTGGAAATTTGTTGCTGGAATTGGTCATACAGGACTAAGATACAATTACGTGTTTTGTATGTTAACTGTGCAATAGATTTGTCACAAAAAATCCGTATCAGGGAGTCAACACTATTCATCATTATTAACATATTTATTATTTCTCTGTAAAATACCCTTCAGACAAGTGACTTCCCTTTACATGTAATTTTATTGTGTTGCTTCCCAGCGATTTTATATATCTCACTGCAAGATTGAAGTCTAGAAATATTCAGATTCTGGTGCCACCTTTTATTTTTTGTCTGTGGTTACTCTACAGAAATATAAGAACCTAAACTTTGTGTCTAATTCTTACTAATCCCTTTCCCCTACAGCCATTATTACAAATTGAATATAGGATAGCTTCATCCTAACCCATTACTGGGACCTTGTAACCAAAATAAATATGCCAGCAATTAGATATTTTACTTGCACAATAGATGCTGTAAATAAAACAGAATATATAGCTGCAGATTTAGGTCTCTCTTCTTTTTCCTTATGATTTTTAATATATCCTACTTGGCTTAAGAGAGGTCTGCTATGTTTCTTTTTAACACTTTTTGGGGTAAGGTTTTAGATTGCATCCATCATTGTGCTAGCAGGTTTACAAAGTCAAAATAAACACATAGAACCTTTTTTTTCCCCCCTTTTGTCTTTTTTCCATTTCTCAGGCAGAGAAATATACTGTGAGTATCATCACTGACAACAGTGGGACCATTCATAAATTAAAGCACCTACTCTACTCTACTTAATACGAGGTTAATTTTGCTCTACTGTTATTTTTCTTTCACATCTCTAATCTGACAATGAAAGTACGAATCCTTTTTTAGTATCTTCGCTGCCCCTGACATTAATGGGAGATGTCTGTGCTTGGCAGGGATTTACTAGTTCTCAAGACTGGGGCCAAGGCCTGCTTTTACCTAACACACTGGGTGTTGGATGGAAGCCATGGCTGATGGAGATGCTCACTGGCAGGAACTGCAGAGAAAATGCAATTTCCAAACTCAGTGAAGGCTGAATCAGAAGTGTAAAATGTCTCAGTAAGACAGCTGTTAGTAAACTGAGGTAGCATCTTCTCCAAATTGTGCTACAAAGCACTAGTTTAAGAATAATACCTCTGAGCAACCTGATCTAGTTAGCGGTGTCCCTGCTCCTGCGGCGGGGTTGGACTAGACGACCTCTAGGGGTCCCTTCCAACCCAAAACATTCTATGATTCTATGATTCTATGATTCCAGGTGTCTCTTTTTTTTCTTTTTTTTAACCAGTAGTATCAGGTGTCTGAGATAGAAAAGCTCTCACTTGATTCACAACAGCAATTACAGACTAAACAATACTAGTGGCATTTTAAAGAGAACCTGAGGAAGATGCAGGGATACATTCACTCTTGGACGCTGTTTTCTTCATTTCAATCACACCTCATCCCAAATCTGCCAAAAGCAGTTCTGCATTTTACACAGTATGCAACATTGCTTCATTTCCACTGCGATGTGATCTTTTGTTTTGGCACAGCTGTATAATATATATCCTTAGAATGCTCTAGAGGAAATTTGAATAAAGGTTTGTATCGTTCATAGATAAACTTCTCCAAAAACCCCTCTGCTAAGTGATTTTTTTTTTCTTTTTCATAGGAGTCTCTTCTTCTGAGTCTGAAGGTGAAATCATCAAAGACGAAATGGATCAGTAAGTTTAAAATCAGTTAAATCTTCCCTATTTCTTACAGTTACAAAACCCCACAAGTGTAGGCATTTCAATTTCCATTAATATTTTGCAACTTCCAACACATTAGGCTTTTGTTTGGGATTTGTTTGGATTCTTTGGGTTGGGTTTTGTTTATTTCATTTTGCTTTACAAATACTATGGAACAAACACACATTTGCTTGTGTGCCTTCAACTTTAGCCTCAGAATTCAAACTTTAATATTAAATATAAACATAAGAAGAAATATGTTGCCTTACAGATTAAACTACTAAAATTAATTTACTAAAACAGGTGCCATTTGACTAGACCCAACTTAAATGCTGATTTAAGCATCTGACTTGGAAAAATAGTGTAGTAAAATTTCTCACATGAAAATCTGGTATGTCATGAAGTTTTTGGCAGAAGATGGCTACACATGGATTATTTAGATTTAAGATAAGGAAACTAATACATATGAACTAGAGTAAACTGAGTGATGGGTATAAAAGACTACTTAATTAAAGAAAGAAAGAAAATGTGTCAGATGTAATCTAAAACCTGGGAAATAATTTTATTTTTCCTAAATGAAATCCACTCCCTGTGCATTTAGAACCTCATCCAGTGCTGTTACAATCTATAGCCAGTCAGACTGGTTGAAAACTAAAATAATCAGTCCTTTACTTTGAACTCCTTTGTATGCATTAATTCAACCCCAATAGCAACCAGTGCTTTATACATAGGAAGTTTTGATCAAGATAGACTTATGCACCCTGGTTTTTTCCACCATTCATCAGGGAGGGTTATACTTATTACAAATGTAATTTTCCTGTAAAATGCAAATGCAAAACACTGCAGTGTTTGACTGAAGACCTCAGGCTGACAGCCAATTCGGTCTTAGGCGATTTTTACTTCAAAGACATAAAATACTTCAGATTGGATTGGTTTATGTACTTTGATAAATGTAAGGGTTTAATATAAAAATTAATATCAAGAAGATCTCAAAGGTTTTGGGATGAATTGCTAAGTTTTTCATAGTTCTACCTCAGTTTTTTCCAATGTCTCAGACATAACGTTTTTTGTTATTCATCTCATCAGTTGTTGATGTAGTGTTGACCGTGATCCTCATCACTTGATGGCATCTCTAAGTTGCTTACCTCATTAATTTGTGAAGTAATGTATTGCATTATGCATTTCTTAGAAAAAAAAAAGAATGCTGCTCTGACATTGTAACAGGATGTCCTCAAATGATAGAATTATGGAAGATCAGGTTTGGGTATAATCAGAGTGTCTTTATTTTCACTCAGCTTCCAGCTATCATCACATGAATCTGAACACCTGTAATTAGAGGGAATTAACATGAGAACAGGTGCAAAAAAATGTTCACAATTTCAAAAGAGAAATCAGTGATCACAACAACTGTATGTTCACAGCTTCTTCTGTTTGAAGGCTGGCTCTCCTGGGGTGACCTGTGGTACATTCCAGAGCAGCCAGTGCATACCTCAAACTGAATGAAAACCCCCATCTCTTCATCGTCTGCATTGTTTTACTTAGCAATAAAAATAAATAGGGTCAACTCTTTTACTTCCATATTAGAAACAACCTAGAAGAAGCGAAGAGGTGCCAACCTCTACACTACCAAAATTGCACGATATGTTGGTCAGAAAGCATACCTGTCTTTTTTTTATTTTTCAGCAGTAAATTATTGAATCTGTAGCCAAGCAGACCATGGTATTTTCATTACCTTATAGGCCCAAATCTTCATACAAGCTCATGGAGCAGTGCAAGAGAAACTAACATTGTCCTTTAAGAAACTAGCATGGCTCTCTCATGCTGCTCAGAGATGCTAACAGCAGCTTTCAAGCCACAGCTGGGTTAATCCAGGCCATTTACTATAGTTGGTGTAACTGAACTAAGTATGAGATCAGAGTGGCAAGACAGGCAGCCTGATTCTTATATAAAATGCAGTTTACCTAGGAGTATGTATCAGTTTAGATCAATTGGAATTCAATTGCAGAAGTGAGGCTGGGGTTGACATGTAACTGGGACAGACGTAACTAAGGGACACACATGTAGCTCTAGCTTCCAGTTAGAGAACTTGTTTTTGGTTAATATTTCACAGCAAACCAAAGCCAGCTGACACCTCCTCGAATGCAGCATGTCCTTCTGTTAGAACTGCAACCAAGCATCAAGACACCTCCAAGGCACCATCTGCTGTGGCTCAGCCTGTGTCTGTGCCTGTCCAGCCTGTGTCAACACCAGTTAATCAGGTAAGGGAGACAACATGGTGAATTTCAAGGACCAAAAGCAAGCTTTTAAAAAGGTGTTTCTTCTCCAGTTTGTGACTCAGAACCCCCAATTTTTCTAGTTTTTGCTTTGCTGTTGAACTTCAGCTTTTGAACCTTACAGCTGTACAGTAGCTGCATAGACAGAAGAGATGTCCAGCCTACCAGCTAACCTTTAGCACCTGGCAAAGGGAAGGGAACCTTTCATCCCCAGGTTACAGGCACCCCTGTGGCAGTGAGCAGAAGGAGCAGCTGCCGTTAGCTCAGCCAGTGGTGGGAATCTGTGTGCACTCCAGCAGGTCAGGGACTGCATGCCGTGAAGGGCACTTGGACATGTAAGCCAACTCACCGGCCTCTTCACATTGCAGACTGACTCATTCACTTTCAATAGCGGCAGCCTAGAACTTTTTCCTCTCCCTTTCTCACTTGAATAATTTTCTTTCAATGAAACTTATTTTAAGCTAAATCATTTCCCTACTATGTTTACTAGATATGCTTATTTACCACATAACGTTTTAATATCCATATCAAAGAGTTTCTAATTAAAGTTAGTATGCATTTCAAGTCCTTTTTGTTGCAAACTATCAGAATATTCATAACGGTGAATTCTTACCCAATAGGAAAGAAGAGCCATATCTACTTAAAAATGAAACTGAAAAGTTAATGGGAACCTTGCTTTACACTGCCTTTTCATATTTATATGAAAATATTTACAGCCTAGAATTAGGTGGTAACCAATAAACAGATACTGAGTAGGTGAAGTAATGAGCGTTTACTTTTGACTACAAAGAGAATAGAACTAAGCAACATTTTGCCATTTTGACATTTTTGGAACATTTTGCAACATTTTGCCATTTTGACAGAGGTTGCCTAAGTCAAGAGTGATAGTTATCTCAAAAATTACCACTTTTACTCTTGTTGGCTTATAAGAGACCATCTATAAAATTTGGCTATGTTTCCTGAGATACTGTATCACTAATTCTGCTGTTCCGGGGCAGCTTCTATTTCACTATGTTATATAAGGAAGTTTTCCAGGAGGAGAATGATTTCATTCTGATTTCACTAAGTAGGATCAATAGGGTGATATTCCACCTCTGTAAATTGTTTGGGTTTGGCAGAGAAGAATTAGAGTAACAGTCACACACATGACTTGATTTAACTTTTCCTTATTAACATCCATAAATATTTTGTAAGAATTTTTAAGAGGAGACTACCACCTACGTAGATTTGCCTTAGTAAAGTATTAATGACGGGTGTTATAACACAGTGCAGTGAAGTTTTCTTTGCCATGATTAACTCAATAAGGCAATACCAGCATTTTTGTTACTCAGGCAGTAACTCATCCAGGAAGATTGTTACCGGTTGTCTACAGTAGAGCAACTTTTATTCTTTGCATTAAATATTTTGCTTTGGACTTCACCCACCAAAATCTCTTTTGCATCATTCCAAGAGCATGTTTCTCCTGTACATGGAAAAATATCCTCTGTGCACCTAAATATCATACGATGTTTTGCAATCTACAGGCTCAAAGCCCCACTAACTATTTGCAAGGACTGGATGGAAGACCCATAATTGCTGCTCCTGTATTTACAAAGGTAATTTGTTCTATGACATATTTGAAAACTATAGAGGTCAATGAATTGTATGGAGAGATAATTACATTTTTTAGCTATCAAAGATAAAAAAAAGGAATTATGCATTTCTTAAGCCATTCAAGGATTTAAGTGGCTTTATGAAATCTTACTGAAATCAGTATTACTTCCAGACCAATAAGCCATTTACTGACTGTCTATTCGTTTTCTCTATTAGATGTTACAGGATATTTCAGCTTCTGAGGGGCAGCTTGTTGTCTTTGAATGTCGGGTGAAAGGAGCTCCTTCCCCAAAGGTTGAATGGTATAGAGAAGGAACACTGATAGAAGATTCTCCAGATTTTAGGATATTACAGAAAAGTATGTTTCTTGTATGGAAATACTGTGTCTAATAAAATATAGGCAAGCAACAAAACTGCTAACATAGCAAAACTTTGAATTTTTGTATTAAAATGCTTAAGAACTATGTAAGCCATATTTATGGCAATAAGTTGGGGTTCCAGAAGCCAAAACTGTGGATGAATTGAACAGTGAACTCACAGGTAGTATTCGTCTGAGATTCTCCAAACTGTTGAATTGTTTTCCCTTCTGCTTTGATCCCTTTGCCACTTCAACGTCCTTTTCTAATTCAGCCTTACTTCTGCTGTTTGTTTTTGGGGTTGCACCATTTACATAGAGTTCCATTGCCCATAGATCCCTCATCTTTCAGCTAAGTGCTATGGGCAGTGGATTGCTTATTTATCCACAAAAGTAACCTGATGTACACATTAGTATGCCTACACACAAATACGAGTGTGTGCACATGATGCATTAAAGGTTGTAAACATATACTTCTACTTTAATTTTCAAATGCAGTTGAAACATCTGCAGTTTCCTCCTAAGTCACTGGAATGCTAAAATTGCTAAAACTCAATAGAAATTCCTTAAATACCACAGTAAATCAAACCTAAACAAAACAGTATTTTACTATAACTTGATTTCATGTGTGTAATAGTTTCAGAAATTGTCTTCAAGACACAATAAAGTAGTACTAAGATTGCAAAAAAATACTTCTTGCAGAATTTATTTCCTATTCATAAGTTCTCAGAAGTGTTCATAATCGTTCAGTGGATTTGACATACCATTAAGTACAAGGCTTGGCTGTCTCCACCACCCCTTAAACAGAAAATTGGATCAAAAGGAGTATTCCGTCATATTGAGAAGAGCAAGCTTCATATTCAGTGCTTAAGAAAAAAAAAAAATAGGGGCTGAAGTAAGTTTATTCAATTTACTAATACTGCTTTTCTTCCCTTTAGAACCACGATCTATGGCTGAACCAGGTGAGGATCATCAAAAGGCTCAATACTTTTTTGATTATACAAATATGGTGATTTAACCTCAAAAAACATTAATTATTTAACCTCCATAATTTAATTAACATCATTCATCTTTTCCCCATGTTCTACAGCTACTAGTGAGATGCATTTCACTGTAGACTGTTGCATAAACATGTAATTTGAATTAATTCTATCACTTTTGAAGAAAATAATGTTTCCATTCTGCTTTGGCCCAGTTCTAACTTAGGACCTAAATGTTACCACCTTATGAGCAAAAGATTAACAAAATTAAGGTATGAGGGTTCCATGTATATCTGAGGTTCAGAAGTACACCAGATGATGTAGGACTGAGCTATTTTTATCTAGTTTACCAGCTAGGGAACATTGCATCAGATGTTTAGCCATGTCAGCCATTCCCTTTGCTCCCTACCAGCGTAATATGAGAGTATCACGTCAGGTGTTCCACCCCTGATATCAGCAAATCCTATAAAAGTGGCTCGATTTGCTAATTTCAAGGGTCAGAGCAGAATGTAGGCTACTCTGCATGATTTGCGCAAAGGAGCCTTACAGATTTTGATTACTTCTCCATTAGACAATCACTCTCCCCGTTACGCTTTTCACTATTAAAAATATAAAGCTGGCCCTTTTAAGACAGAGAATTACCAAGGAAGTATTAGTTCTAATGGAATATATACTTCTCTAACTCTTCTCCTTGCCCTATTAAAAGTTTTTTACCCCAAAAAGTGTCTTGAAAGACACTCCCTCTCTCTGCAATGTCTCTTGCTGAGACTTAGGAATGAATAAATGGAGCTTCTACCAGAACCCACTGATGCCGTTCCTTTACTGTCCAGTGGCATCACTGCTGAGTAATGTGAAGCAGTTTTTAGAGGGTAATCAGTTGGGTGCAGTTGTCACTGCCTCATCACCTGCTGCTCATTCAGAAGGAATCTGGATTTCCATGCATGCAGCGGTTGGCAAATCCAAGTACTATAAACTAGATACTATAATGCCTTAAACTAGTTCTATAATCCTAGAACTATAATAAACTATTATTCTCCTACAGTTGTTAACAAATAATCTCTTTGTTGCTACTAGATTTTCCTCAGTGATGACATGAAACAATCAAGTTTAAGAGTGGTATGGTCTTCTACAGAAATGCCCGTACAATATTAACCCTGTAGGGTTTTAGGAGAGTTTCATGCAAAATGGTAGCAAAATAGTCACTGACTAGTTGAAGAAATGCTATCAGCCCACATTTCAATACACTTTCGATGTTACTCTCCCTCCCCATCCCAGCTACCTGGCCAAATGAAAGATTTAAAATCCCATCACCATAGGTATTTATTAGCTGGTACTGCTGCCCGGACATGCCAGATACTGGTCAGACAGGAATGTCATAACCACAGATTGACTTTTCAAGACGGAATTTAATTTTTCTAGTACAATATGGCTAGCACATATTTGATGCCCATTAGACTTCTTCACAAAGAAGTGAAAAGGCAACTTCCTATAAGCACAATTAGCACAATCCCCTCTATCTGCGAATCTGCACTGGTACTTTTGGAAAATGCCAGCCTATATGTATGTGTTTTGTATTTCTTCACCTTACACTTGAATTGTTCCCAGTTAATTATAACTAACCTTTCAATCTGCAAAGAGGCACAAATACATGTATTTTAGTGAGTTGTGAGTATAGAGTACGCCGTATTTCTCCAAATTAAATTTTAAGTTCTTCAGAAAGAAAGTCTGTACTTCATGTGATTAGGAAAACATTTTCTAATGTTTTCCAAACACTGCTGACACCTGTTCTTCACGTTCGTTGGGCATGCTGGAGCACAGAGGGTACCAGTTGCTGCAGACAATGCTGATAACAGCTGCTGCACACAAAGCCTGCCAAAATTGATAATACTGATGAAACTAAAATCAAATGGAGCAAGGTGGAAAAACTTAAGGAGATGTCCCCGAGGGTAGTCAAGGATTTGTGTGTTCGTTCAATGCATGTTCACTTCAAGTAATGACACTGCTCTGATGCTTTGCAGAGGAAATTTGCACTCTCGTTATTGCTGAAGTATTTTCGGAAGATTCTGGCAGTTTCACCTGTACTGCAAGCAATAAATATGGCACAGTATCTAGTATAGCTCGTCTAACTGTCAAAGGTAAGAGTTTGTTTTAGTCCTTTGCTTGCTAGCAGATACAAGCAGAGCAGCAGGCTGTTGCACTGTACAGTCCAAGCTGCTTAGCAAACATACAGATTGCTATGTTTTTTCAAAGCGTCCTTCCCCAATTAGAAATGTGAAGGAACAAGGAACGCTGGGTATTGAATCCCACATAGTCCTTCCAAAAACCCAACTCTTGCTGACCTCAAGATTTGGGCAATAGCTATTTTTGGAATCTCTATGGACTGTCTAGTTTGCTGTTTCAATAATCCTTCTGTGCAGATCCCAAAGGAAGAAACCTCAAAACAAATTCTTTCATACTGCCTACACGATTTATGCTGCCAAGGCACTAAGAAATTAGGTGAGCAAAGTACAGTACATAAAAGCATGGTGCACTGTTGACTCAAATTCAGCTCAAGTTCTGGCAGTGTTCTTTGTAACTAAAAAGTTAAGAGAATTCCCAGAAAGGAAAGTTTGTATTTCAAAGATGCTGGTGGAATCACAGGGGACACAGCTGAAGACCACTGCTGGATCTTCCAAACTAGAACTGTGTCTCTTTTTCCCCTGCCTTTACAATATTCCTTTGTTAGGGGAATCTATTGTTAAACAAATTACGTCAAACAACTCAGTCCAACAGCTGGAAGGACATCAGAGTGAGTTTTTCCAACAGTAACTTCTGTGATTTCATTTCACTATAATTTATGGTATTTACATATCACATATATTACATATATTTACATATCGCCAAAAGTTTAATATTTGCTATTTCAGCATCTGAAGACAGCAGTAACGCTGCTACCCTTCACACAATGAGCTCCATCAACTTAATTGCTGCTGAACATCAACCTCCCTCACGTAGCCCTTCCCATCATGTAGTAAATCAAACGCCCAAACCTAAGCTTGAAGGTGTTCTTGTGAACCACAATGAACCCAGATCGAGTTCCAAGATAGGTCTCCGTGTGCACTTCAAGCTGCCCGAAGATGATAAAGGAAGTGAATTGTCACCAGAGGATGGACCTGGCACTACAAACCAAAACAGAGCCAACTATTTCCAGGAGAGGATAAATGGACAGCCAATGAAAATACCAGAGCCAACATCGCCATCCAAGGAACCCCCCCCAGTACTGGCTAAACCAAAGCTGTAAGTAAAAGGGATTCTAAGTCTCGGGAGCATCACTGATATTATTTAGTGTTCATAGACCAGGACATTATTGCACTAGAGAAAAAAAACTCAAACACAGAACAAAAAGACAGTCAGTATCACATGGTGCTGGCCTAATTAACCATACTCTTAGAAAACATATTCTACAGAGCTAGGGTTTTTTTTCTGTATAACCCTGTTGGGAAAAATATTCTCCAATTTTAAAAGGAAAATGTTTTCCCTTTGAAATTTTATTTAATTCCACAATGCTGCAAACAAAAGGTGAACAACACTGCTTTTATGCAGGCAAAATAAAAGCAGGTTCTTCAACTATATCTCACTCGATTCTGAGTATGCAATTGTGCCAAAACGAGACATACTCAGTGTCATACATAGTATGGGCTAGCAACTGTAGTCCCAAAGGCCGTGCCTCATGACTTTTCTGTCTCACAAACATAACCTCCTCCTAAAACAGATAAAATACTTGGAAATGTTTGATAATGTGAAACTACCTGAAGCAAAAAGCACCTGCATGATTAGTGCACTGTGAGCTCAAGGGGAAATTTTAAGAAGTAGTATAGTTTTCTTAGAGGACAATTTAAGGAATTCACACTGCAGTTCATTAAGAAATATATTTTCAGCATTTTTGAAACCTCCCAAATCTAGTTTAACAAAAAGCATGCAGAGTCCTTCATTTAATTTCTTAAATAGGCAGAAGCTTTAACTAGAGGCTCAGGAAGGACTTTATAAACTCTTCAGCAGGGATGTAATTTCATAGCATAAACATTACAAGTGAGTAGACAGAACTTACATACCATGTGGCAGAGGAAGAACTTGGAGCAGTGCTTTTTTAATTTGTTAAGCCCATACTCGCAGCCCTATTTACCTTCAGAGCTGTAGTGTGTTTAAACAGGGAGCAAAAGCAGTATTTAACTTGCCCAGTGCTTGCATAAAGCAGAATTTCTCTCAACCCCACCCCCACAAAAAACCTGTAACAAAGGAGTGCATTATTCTGCAGATGTATATATGAAGGACACAAAATCAGGATTGCACAATTTCTAGCTCTCTAACATGCTGCTTTTTGAAAGCTTGCAATTGCTATCTTTATCTATCTTTAATGTGATTTTTGTTTAGTACATTACAGAAACAGTAATACTTTTTATTTAAAAGAAGTGCTGTTGACTTCATGCATTTGGTTTGTCAGTACCAGTTGTAGTTGGTCTCTACTTCTACATTTTTCACTTTTTAACAGTAGTTATTTAATACTCGACAATTTATTACATGATTATTTTCCATATCCTCTATGTCCTTTTTGGTTTTGGAAGGGGAAAAGTTAGCCTGTTTTCCATATGCTGCATTTCCATATACATAATAACTAAATAAACCACTTGACAAGGCAAAATAATTTTCCTTAATTGCAAAGAAAAAAAGCCTTGAAGACATACACAGTAGATAGCATGTAGGAAACAACAACTGCATGAAATGCAAGTCCTCGCTGAATGATGCACCCCTGCCTGTCACCAAATGTCAACACCACCTAAACAACGTTGGTAATAATGTGTTTTGGTGGATTACTACCAAGCTTTCTCAGCAAAAATTCTGGTTTCAGAACCTACTCTAACAGGAGCTAAAGAACTGCAATCTGGCTTAAAAACGCTAATTTAAAATCTGATAAACCAAATCCTACTCTTAGTTACACGAGATGAGAGGTACTAAGGTGAAATAGAGGAGAATTTGACAATGCTATCCCTTAAATATTTTCCAAGTAAGATTTGGATTTGTATTTCATGTGTTAAAATGTAAGAATCTTCTTTGACCAAATAATATTCAGACAGAAAGCTTTTGTGCCTCTGGCAAAGAAGGGGGGAGGAAGGAAAAGTTTATTTTAGTAGCGAACTAGTATTATGCTCTTCTCATCATGTTAGAGAATATGTCATGTAGCAGTTTCCCCTACCTCTTACTGTATCACAGGACATATAATTTTTCTCTCGCAATTCATATATGGAAATGTAGTCAGCCAGCATGTTCAGGGCTCAGGACCAATTTTGCTCACCTTTGTTTTATATGCAGTGATCAGACCCAGTTAAAACAGCTCCACAACCAGGTCTTGCTTGAACAACAGCAAGTGCATCAGACATCTTCAAGAGAGTTGTCATTCAACACAGCTTTTTTAAATTCTACTACTTCACTCCATCAACAGTCCACCTCAACGACGTACAAACAAAGCAAAGCCTCTGCTTCACAATCGTTTGGCTATACCCGACCTAAGCAGTTCCTATCATCACAAACCACACTGCCTATCAGCTCCTCTTCTAGCTCCTCAGTTACAACATTCAGCAACGTCCCTCAAGGAACTCAAAGAACAAATAAGGAAAATTTCATAGGAAATCCTCCACCTGCCCAATCAAGGTCTTCAGGAGGGTTTACAAGCAAAAGTGAACAGTCTCTACCAAGCCCTAAAGAATCTGTGGTGCCTCCATTAACGCTTTCTATATCTAGCGTAAAACAGTTTCAGCCGCAGAGTGTGACTCCTGCTCCTGTCTCCCCAACTGGCCGGATTCAGAATCCAGTAGCTTTCCTTAGCTCTGTTCTTCCTTCGCTTCCTACTGCACCATCAACCAATGCTATGGGACTGCCCAGAAGTACACCAGCCACGTAAGTAGCGTAAACCATACATGCAGAAACAGGGGCAAGAAATACTCATAAAGGAAACTGAGATGTATTTCTGTTCAAGGGTTCAGTGGGGAGTTTACTGAAATGCAAGTCCTTCATAAAATAGAAAAGCAAGTTAGTTATATATTCTGGTCATTTAATCTAACCGTTACGTTCAGTTAAGAAAGGAAGGGGTAGTAGCTTCTCTAATAAGATACATCAAGGGTAAGATAAATTCAAGGTAGAGAAATGGGAGTTTATAAACAGATATATACAAGAATTTGGGGGCTGAGAGATTCATAACACTACTAGTGGGAGAAAAGCGATTTCATGAGCTTGCAGGATAAGTCACTCTAAGACCATTTGCCTACATGAGCTATAAAAACATTCTTACCTATTGTAAGCAACAAGTAAAGTTTTAAAAGGTACCTCATAATGTAAGTTATTTCTTAGTCCGGGTAAATCTAAGAAATAACTAAGGGTATTTTTCTGGTTGCAACACTTTCTATATTTAAAGTCCCCCAGGAAATCTCAGGAGAGCTAATGTTTTGCACATAAATATTTTAACTGATAGCCAGCATGATTTCTGTGACAAAATGGCTGTTGCCATACAAGCAAATAAGGATGATGATATACTGGAAGGGTTGTGACCTTCAGAATTCCTTTCTTTACATCCGTTCCTTTCTTTACACCCGTTTTTACATCTGTTTTGTGGATTACATGAACCCTATGTTAGCATGGCTAGCAGTAGTAGGTCAATAAAATTTTTTATCCATAGAACTCCAAACTCTGCACAAAGTAAGGAATATTCCCCCCTTTTACCAATGGTACGCTTCAAGGTAGTGACAGCAGTCACAATCTCCTAACTATTTTGCTAATGCTACATCAACCAATCTGTAATTATAAGAGAAAAAAAAAGTGTCCCTGTATACACAACATTCAGCACTCTGTGTGCCAAGAAATCCTGCCTTCAAACCATTACTGCACTCCTACTCCCTTCCTAGTTCCCCAGCACAGCCACATAATCGCCGTCACCCTGTGGCATGTGGCTGGAGGCCTTCATGGCCCTGGCATCATGGGCAGGCATACATAATAAAGTTGTAAGGTTCACAGTGAAGGTTTTAACTATGCCCAACTCAAGCCTTCGGCCTGCTTTCACAATATTATGACAGCAAGCAAAAATCAACTGTAACTACTCATCCATTCCCCATCCTCCCCTTCAGAGCTGGTGAACAAGCGCTCAAGCACTATTCTCTTTGCATTAATGACACTTAACCCTGGCAAAGTGCTTGATATTTTCTAACTGTTGCGTAGGCTCTACCAAATAAATCCTTACAATACGCCTACCAGGTAGAGTAGTTAAACATTGTTTTCTCCATTTCACCTTTCCTGGGTCCCAGCCCAGAGCTGAATTCCCACATAACTATAGCTCATCGTGCTGAAGTTCTAATCTAGATCTCCCCATGGGAGAGAGAGTCAAAAGTGAGGGCACAAAAGATCAAGAGTGAACTAATCTGTGAATATCTATTGAAGTTTCAGCTTCCTTTTTTGGCATTATCAATTATAATCGTTCTGGTTACTAAAGCAGGGAGAGATCACCATGTCTGCAGAACAACAAAAGGAAGATACCTTGCACAGCAATCATTAGCTATGCCTTTTACCTAGACTCCCTGTTATTAAGATGCCAACTCCTGGTAAACTACTAGAGCGTTGCACACTCTCTAGTAGCATGTGGCTGCTGTGCTTCAGCAGTGCACTCTCGCAGTGTCCCGACAATCTTACTTAAGAATTTAACTATTTTCAAACCTTACATCTGTAAAATAAACCGACATCTGTAAAATAAAAATGAAAACAACTGAAGTGTCATAAAAGGGTGAGAGAAATGAACAAAGTAAAAGTTCACGGAAAGAGTAAATGGCCAATGAAGATGTGAGAGAAAGATTAGTGAGAAACTGTATTAACTTTTAAATTATTATCTGGTACAGTAAAATGTACAGATTGTACACCTATGGTAACACCTATACACATTTTTTTAGCATTCATTGTGACATCATTATTCCAAGATAAATATTAATGGGACTTAGATGCTTATTATAGTATTATAACAATTATTCTCTTTAAGATGTGTGTCCTTAATTCCTACTGGCATGGAAATGGGAGGCACCATTAAAATAGTACCAAAAAAAAAAAATCAAATCCCATATTGTGCTTGACTTCTACCTAAATAAATAATAGGTTCCTCCAGACAACTGAAGCATAACGTATCACATCACACAGGTGACAATATATATATATACTTGTTGCTGCATGTTAGTATCAGAATTTTCTTTTAATAGCCCGACCCAGGGATTAACAAAGAAAAATCTGAAGCCTCTGCCATTAGCAACAGATGATTCTATTCGGGAAAATAAAGCTGCACTTGTAAAGGATCTGGAAAGAAAACTGCATTTCAGAGAGGCTGTTAATCAACAAAGTAGTCAGCAGGTAAGAAAATTGAGTGTTATTAAAATAAATTTTACTCATGAACAAGATAAGCATTATGATTTGTGAAACAAAAGGTGTTTGTGTGGCTGAGCTGCTACACTACTTTGCAAAGTGAAGTTCGCTGGTAAGTACTGGTTTGGAATAGCAAACTGGAGCTTTAAACAGGAAGTATGAGGGGATGCAGTTTTGGAAGGTTTACTTTGTGACTGAGTAGCATTTTTAATTTCTGATCATCTCCTTTAGAGACCAGTAGGAATGTAAAACTTCTTCCTTTTCATGGAAGCTTCTGTATATTGGATTTCATTTTTTCACTTTACAAGTTGCTCAACTCATTGCACACATTCATACACTGGATATTTTTAACACAAATTAAGGAGTAAAGTAATCAAATTGTTCAAGAAATGGTTTCTGGCTTTACTTTGTTTGAAGTAAAATGTAGTATTCAATTTTTAGCATTAAACCTATTTTTCCAAATATCCCAACTTACATAAATTGATAGGGACGTGTTAGGAACTTAACAAAGTTTTTGACAGCTGTTACTGGCATACACCAAACTGTAGGCCTAGCATTATTAGAGTATAGCAAAATAACAAACCTTTTACACAGTTCAAGGAACTAAATATCAGTTCATTCTTAACTGGAATCAATCAATACACCAGATCTGGGCAGTGTCTATGAAATTAAAGAAGAAATAAAAAATGAAATGAGATTTTGAGGTTGAAATCACTGTAAATTGGGTTCAACCACCCTCAAATAACTTAGTCTACACTAGGGACTGTTAGATGGCTTTCTGTCTGGAGGTGATTATGCTACTCTCACCTTGGCCATGGAGCCCTCTATAGCTGTCCCGCCAGCTCAGGCTTAATGCAGCAAATAATGGTTTGCCCTGACCTGTTGTCAACAAGGGAACTTTTCACAAGGTCTGTTAGCCCTTCTGACAGAGAACATGCGAAGATAAGCAAAAAGCCATGGAGTCTCTGGAGCAAATTACCCGCTGTGGACAACTGCAGTGTAATCCCTGTTTTTTTAATTTTGCTGTTGACCTTTCTTTCTGACAGATCACACTGCCAAAACACTTTGAGTAAAACAACTGGCAAGCAGTATGTTTTACAGATGAATCACAAGTGTTACAGTTTGTACTTGCTATGGTAGTAAGACAAATTATTTAGAGAGCTACTGTGAAATACCAATCAGTCTTTCGCGTTAACTGCATGATAACCCCTTTAGAAACAATGATCACTACTAGTGTCAAAGTTATCTGCTGACAGCAAAAGTTATTTATACACTTATTTGCTATTCTGTATGAGACCCAACCAAAATCTTGATTCCCAAATCCCCCAAGCACTGAAAAACTACAAAGCTGGCACTTCTCTAATTGTTACGGTAATTAGAATGCCAGTGGTAATGAACTAGAAAAAAATTTTAGGATTGCTCAGTAAAAGTTCCTTCATTTTCCCCTCAGTTCCCACCTTTAATCACCGCTGATTTTATTCTTCCACATCCAGGAAAACCACTGCTCAGACTGACTCCAGCAAATTCAAGTCTGAGTTTTCTCTTCAGTGAAAGCAGTGATTATTTAAAGAGATGAGAGGATGCACAGCATTTTCCAAAATTCCTGTTGCTTTGCCATTTATAGAACAATCAATATTGTGAGAATAATATGTTGGAGTGCTGGATTCACACCCCTAGATTTTGTCCTGGTTTTAACTCTTGTAGTTAACACAGAATTAAAAAGGAGGCATTCTCATCCTATATATAGCATATCTGCATTAAATTGATTATTATAATGGCAGGGAAGGGCTTCTTATTCACTTTCTCATAAACATCAACGCAACTCTCCTCTGTATGAGAGATCACTGCATAATGAATGGAGTACAGCATCCAATAAGAATCTCAATGTGTTGGCTTCCTTGTATTTTCTACATGCTATTTTAAAATTTCCTTCTCATAAAATGTGTCCTATATATTTTTATTTAGAGAATTGTATTGTAACCCCATATGCCAATAGCAGGATTTGGTCTCATTTACAGTATCTGCAGAGCATGTAGGGATCATCCAGAATGAAAGCTGCAGATGACAAGTCTGTGTCTTAAAGTACTGGTATTGTCTTACACTACTATATAAAGTGCAGTAACGAACATGAGTGATTTACATCCTGGTGCTCTGTTTATTATCTATCATTGACTTCCATATGAAAAGTGTTTAGCTTACAAGTCAAGATTTTCCTAAGCGTCAGCATCATGCACTCAGCATGATATCTAATAATCCAGATGTACTCCTTCTGTTTCATCCAGTACATCATTCATCACCAACAATAAAGAAATACAGAATCAGAACGTAGTTGGTAAATTTGCTGATGTTGCATGAGACAGAACAGATTAGTCTCTGGTCTTCTACAGCTATGATAATCGTGCAGTGCTGACAGAAATACAAACAAAACATGATTTTGCTAAGATTCAAGCTGCAACTTCAACCAAGCACATGCACTAACAAGCTGTCATTTTTACCAGAAAAAAACACCATACCTGTCATTTATGTGGATGGTAGTATGTTATATTGCCAGGTGAAATTTCATCACAATCAGGAGTGTTGAAAAAAAGAGGTTCAGTTATACCAAACATCTTCAGTCAGATTTGCTCAGTTCTTTCAAACTAAATGAGGATTAGCTTTAGGCAATTTCAGGAAGAGGTTAGAACAAATCCCAGCATATAGGAGACTTAACTCAGTTTCTTCCTTGGCCAGTTGAATTCATAACTCTCAACTCCCATAAGTACAGCCTAACTCCTTGCCAGTGGGTGTGTGTACTGTTGGTGCTGTCCCAGGTTGCACAAATAATTAAGCATTCTTTAACAGCGGGATACAAATCTGGAAATTCCACCTTTCAGAACAGCTCCCTTAACAGGAGACCTGAGCCTTTCTCTCACTGTCTCCAGCTCAATGAATAAAACTTAAGACTTGTGGAACAGTGTGGAACAGGCCCTCCTTTAGCAGGACATTTCAGAGAGCATTTCAGCTTAATGCTTAGGGTTGTGTTGGAGAAAAGAAGCAGAGGCGGATTGAGAGAGAGAAAGAGAATCGTTCTCCTGCCTAGGAACTAGGATAAACACCTGGATTCTTGTCCTTGCTGTACTGGATGTTTCAGTATTTCTGCAAAGTGAAAGATGGCAAGAAGGACAAAGACTTTCCTTGTCCACTCATCTCCACCCCCATAATGTTTTATTTGGAGACTGAGGTTGAAAACCTGTGAGACAAAGCACCCAAGTCTCATAACCTCGGTGAGTGTCTGGGCTACTGCACCATTTGATGAAAGGAGAGCACAGCCAGTGTTATCTCCACTTCCCAAAATCTGTCAATCTAATCCATCGGGCCGTTTATCTTCCTTACAAGTAAAATGTCTTGATAATGTTCAGTTAGAACACGTCACGTAGAAACAAAAAGACGTGCGGGGAGAAAAAGGCAGATGGAGAATTTGGGGGGATTTTGGTAAATAGAAAAAATATAAATGTGTAATGCAAACTGATTCTTTTACCCTGGTATTTGAAAACATTTACAGACTTCACCAATGGGACTATAAATAGAGGAAATTCAGATTTACAGGCACAACTTAGAAATTAATGGTATCATCTCCTCAAAACTTTGCTATACAAATAATAAAATAGAAAAATTACATAATTAAACCTCAAAATCCTGTACAGTAATAAAAATAAAGGAATTAACTCTATTATGGCACAGTTAAGTACTTGGGCCTGGTTTATACCTTTTGGTTTTAAGAACTACAAACTGTGCTCATATATCTATGTCACTTACTGTGAAGAATATCATGTGGCAATGTTGGTTGGTGGTGTCTTACGTAAGACCCAGATAGCAGTGTGGTCACCACCTTATTTTTAGGACAAAGAGTAAAGCTATCGCTGTTTTTTTTATCATAAAGAAAATTATGCACAGCTCTCACGTGAGTATTCTTTACTTTTGCTAGGGAATGCTTTATCCAAATTCCAGAGCAGAAGAGATGCAGGGTTTGTCCAACAGCTTTTAGATCATTAAAAACCACAGCCTGTAAAGCCATATGCCGAACCCAACTCATCACACAGGCCACATCACCACTAACACCTCAACACTGATCCAACAGAATCATCTCCTCGCAGTTCCCGTACTAAGCCCAGCCTCAGAAAGGTCACAAGAATCACCAAGAGCTCTTTTCCCCAGAGCACAAGAATTACACTTAATTCAATTACTCCAAAAATCTTGTGCAAAACCAAGGTTCACGTTATCTTCCAAAGGTCAGCAAACGTAGGCAATTTTGGACTAAGGACGGGAATTAAAGCCCAGGGAGTCCTCACGAAAGCTTGTTTGCTCTGTACTAGAAATGAGAAGAGATTTAAGAACCTGACAAAGACAAAATACCAGATCTTGACATTAATAGGTATAAGCTCCCAATAATCGTGGGAGTGAATAGTTGAACAACCACTTGTGGCTGTCTTTTCAGGATCTAGATCTAATCAACACCAAAGTACAGACAGGTTTTCCTGGTAAGAATCCTGGCTTGCAGAACTCATCACCTAGGAAAGGGAATCTGAGCTCCTCATGCTTTCACACACACTCGTAAGCCTCTCACTCCAGTTGGTAGGACTGCGGGAGTTGGAGATGCAAACCTCATTTGCTTTCTCTTCTGTTTTCCTCCTGCTCTGTCACTTTGAGCTGAACTGCACTTTGAATATTGCCTAGCTGTGTACCACAGATGACTTGCTAGACGCTTCAAGGGTTTGTGTTTACATTTGAAGAGCATGATATTCATGCCTTGTGCCATGTAAGAGGGCCCAACTGCAAGAAATAAACTGCTTCAGTGACACCTCTCCATGGGACCTGATAAGTGAAGAAAAGCACGCACATTGGATCTGTTGTTTTTTTATGCCCACTGCTGAAAGGGGGAGTGGGGTGGAGGGGAGCAGGGGAGAGAGACTGAAAATCCAACCTAAACAGAAGATTTAAGTAAGAGTAGC